TCCCCTGTGTTGCTCACCCACCCGGTTTTTAATGTTCCCAGGACGGTCGTGCCTCCTCCAGCCAGCAGGGTTTGTGGAATCGCCATGGCTTTGGGTCTGAGTCCTAACCTGGAGGCATCTGCTGGGACCCAGGTCACCTCCTCTGGGCCAGGAAGTTCCCATCACTGTCCCACAGGCCTCATCACCAGAGGCCAGGCCTCAGGCCCTAACCCTCAGCCCCTAGGCACAGTGGCTCCTGGGGAGCCTGTGGCATCTCACGCGTCCCTGGCTCCCCCCACTTAGCAGGCACTTGGCAGTTTAAGGCACACAGGGTGGTCTGATTTGCATAAACAGAGTGCATGGAGGCGACCCGCAGCCTTGATCCTCCCAAAGTGAGAGCCCCTGAGACATTGTGTGGCCTGGGGGTGGGCAGTCAGGGTACCCCAGGGCACCCCCAGGGAGTGGTCTCGGAGATGTTCCCTGGGGTCTGCCGGGTATCACAGATGCAGAAACACCCATTTCTGAATGACCTGTGGAGTTTCTTGATTTCTTTTGGCTTTGCTTTTCAATCAGGCTGCCCCTGGGTCTAGTCACAGTAAACCCTAACCGGCCTGATCTGGTTCCAGCAGAGAGTGACCAGAGGGTGACCGGATCAATGGGCAGCCGCCCTGTGCAAAAGGGTCTGAGAGGGCGTGTTTGCCCCATGCACATTTCCAGTCATGACTTTCATTTCTCCCTTGTGTTCTGTCCCATTTCTGTTCTTGCCTTGGACCTGCGGGTGTGAAGACCCCTCTCTCTGTCCTTCCTTGCATGTGTCCACCAGCTGGCCTGAGTCTCGTCCCCGGGGCCCATGGCTGTTCTGTTGAGGGGCTTCCTACCTCCTCTGCCAGCCTTGCCCCGTGCCCAGGAGAGGCAGGAGAGGCAGGGGCCCCTCTCAGGGAGATGGGGTGGGGACCCAAGGGCCCTCTGGGGTGAGAGAAAGCAGCAGGGGCTGGGGACCACCCCAGGCAGGTGAGACCAAAGGAATGGTTAGGCGGCACCCTTCTCTGAGCCGCAGGCTGGGCCACAGAGGGAAGGGCCTCCAGGTCCTGCTGGCCCCAGTGTGCCTCCCCGAGGTGGCTCTCAGCTGATGGCCTCAGCAGCATCCGCCCCACCCCCAGCCCTGCACACAGCTGGGCCAGTGCCCTCTTCGGCCTCACCCCTCCCACCGGTGTCCATCCTGATCTGGAGTTACATTTTGATGCCATGAAGACACTTTGTTTATATATAATGTTTATATATTTTAAAGATTTGTGCCAAGAGAGTATATTTAATAAAAATTAAAGTGATTTTTTTTTCCTGACTATGTCCTTCTTTTCTGTGACTTTTTTATTTTAAAGATTTTTTTATTTATGTATTTGACAGAGATCACAAGTAGGCAGAGAGGCAGGCAGAGAGAGAGGAGGAAGCAGGCTCTGCTGAGCAGAGAGCCCGATGCGGGGCTCTATCCCAGGACCCCAAGACCATGACCCGAGCTGAAGGCAGGGGCTCAACCCACTGCACCACCCAGGTGCCCCTCTTTTCTGTGACTTTAACCCCCGACCTCCACTCCCTGTGAACCAAAAACGGTTAGCGTTGAGGTTATTTTGACAGATTTTTTAAAATATATTCTTGAATAAACCTTTTTTTTTTCTTCTTTTTTTTTCTTTAAAGTAGGCCCCACGCCCAATGTGGGGCTTGAACTCAAGACTCTGAAATCAAGAGTCACATGCTCAGAGCTCTCAGTGGGTTAAGCGTCCACTTCTTGGTTTGGGCTCAGGTGGTGATGTCAGGGCGGTGGGATGGAGCCCGGCCTCAGGCTCTGTGCTGGGAGTGGAGCCTGCTTGGGAGTCTCTCTTTGCCCCTCCCCTACCTCTCCCTCTGGGGGGGGGGGAGTCAGTGCTCGAAAGATTGAGCCATCTAGGTACCCCTTGAATAACCCTTTTTAATGTGTTTATTATTTGAATTATTACTACATACAGGTCTTCTAGAAAACTCCCAACTGCACAGAGGGTTGTGGTGAGAAGTAGGTCCCCCTGCCAGTTCCCTCCGCCAAAGTGTCTTCTGTTACCAGTTTCTCATGTGTCCTTCCGGAGACATCCTGTACATGAACACTTGCCCCTTTTGAGGACATAGGTGGCCCACCACGTCACCGGTCAGCACGGGTTGCATCCTGCTGCAGCGAGCAGGGCCACAGAGGCCCACTGTTTGTCCCCGGTGCCCTGCCAGCCTGCCACGTGCCAGGGGCTCCACTCTGCAGGTGGTTTGGGAGCGAGATCAGCTGTCTGCACGGCCCAAGGTCGAGGCTGTCAGAGGTCTCACGTTGGCCACTGAGACTTGCTTCTGCTGCAGCCCAGCTCCTGGGCCAACTTTCAGGGCCCAACCAGCCAGAGGCAGGAAGTAGGAGCCTCCACGTGCCGGGGGAGGGGTGACTGGGTAAGCATGTGTGCCTGGGTGGGCGCACTCTGCAGGGGCAGCCTCGGTGGCCTGGAGCCGCTCTGCCTGCTGCTTTCTTCCAGCCGGATTTCTTATACCTTGGTCCCCACTGCGTATGGTAGATCTCATTGTTCAGCCACAGTTTGGTGTTTCCCCCGGGTGGTCGCCTGTGATGACCTCTACCCATCCTTTGTTGATGGCAGTCAGGGTTGTTCGATGACAATGCGGTGGCGGCTCCTGGGGCCCATCCAGCTTGCCTTTCACGTCCTACCGATTTCTGTCAGTCCCACCTCTCGTCCTAGCCCCTGAGCCTCGGAAGATGGGGATCAAATCTCCATTTTCCCCCAACCACTGCTGCATCCCCTAAAATACAGAGGTGGGCACATGACCCCATTTGGGCCCATGACAGCAGGGGAGATGTTTGCTAACCACTTCCAGGGAGAACGTCTAGAGGCACCCTCCCTCTCTCCCACTGGTCTTGAAGGAAGAAACACCAGCACAGGCAATTGGTGGGACTGTCCTACGATCACAAGATAGGAAGTGATCCCCAGATGAAGCTGACACTGCAGAAAACAGAAGGAGTGGGATTATTGGTGATGTTGTCTGGGCTGCTGGATCCAGCTCTGCCTGAAGCTCTCGACTACTTCTCAATGTCTAGCAATAGGAGTGGCTTTATCCTGTCTATTGAAGGCAGTTAGGGTTGCGCTTCCTGGCATTTTCTGAAACAAATCTTGTATATGCCTCTTTGCTTCTATGAACTAGTGTGTCTATGGTTTTTCAGGAACAATTTGTTAAGTAAAGATCGGGATATGTTAACCGACGCTGCCAGTGCCCTCACTAAGTCCAGCATTCATGGTTGCCAAAACTGCTGTGGGCTGTAAGCCCCTGCAGCCCAGTCTGGGGGCCCCTGTGAAGAAGCCCTGACACCCCAGGAGTGGCCCTCAGCCAATGATTGTGGACAGCCTCTCACCACTGGGGTGGGTCACTCAAGTGAGATCCACTGTCACCCAAGGCCCCCCCACAGGACCAAGCCCAGGTGGCCCACTTCATCACCTGTTCATGGGCACCTCCACAGGGCTCCTCCCTCCGTTTCATGTCTCTGGCCCCAAGGAGTCTCCCTGGGGTGACCTCCCAGGTAAACCATGGGCCCTGAGTCCTCGTGACAGAGTCATCTTTGAAGGGAATCTATCCAGGAAAGAATAGAAATGCCAGATACTCCTGCAAGGAGACGGTAGCATATTTTTTTTTTAAGATTTATTCATTTATTTTATTTATCTTGTTTTTTTAAGATTTTATTTATTTTATTTGACAGACGGAGATCACAAGTAGGCAGAGAGGCAGGCAGAGAGAGAGGAAGGGAAGCAGGCTCCCTGCTGAGCAGAGAGCCCGATGCAGGGCTTGATCCCAGGACCCCGGGATTATGACCTGAGCCGAAGGCAGAGGCTTAACCCACTGAGCCACCCAGGCGCCCCTATTCATTTATTTTAGAACGAGAGAAAGTGTGCATGTGATTTGGGGGGGGATGGGCAGAGGGAGAGAGAGAATCCCTGAGCGAGAACCCACTGAGCCGAGCAAGATCCCAGGACCCTGAGACCATGATCTGAGCCATAACCAAGAGTTGGGCATTTCACTGACTGAGCCACCCGGGCACCCCGATGGGAGCCTTTGTACCTCATACCCTCACTGTCTTGAGTTTCCTGTGGCCGCCATAACAAAGTACCCCAGACTGGGGGCTTAAAACCAATTTATTCCCTTCATAGTTCTGGAGACCGGAAGTCCAAAATCAAGATGGCAGCGGGTTTGATTCCTTCCGAGGCCATGAGGGAAGGGTCTGTTTAGGCCTCTTGGCTTGCAGCTGACCAGATGGCTGTGTCTTCACCTTGCCTTCCCTCTGGGCATGTCTGTATCTAATTTTTCTTATAATGAAGAAAAGGGGGAAGGAAAAAAAGCAAATTTCCTCTTATAAGTATACCAGTCCTGTTGGATCAGGGCCAATCTTACAACCTTATTTGAATCTGATCACCTCTTTAAAGCCTCAGTATCCACATATAGTCCTATCCTGAGATCCTAGGGGTTAGGACCTGCACATAGAACTTGGGGAGAACACACTTCAGCACCTCCCGTCAGTAAGAGCCAGCCACCAGCCTTGTGGATCTTTACAGTTCTGACCGGGAAGCCCCAGGATGTCCAGGGCCTGCCTGCGTGGTGCCCGGGCGGCGACAGGGGAAGAGACAGCAAGGTCAGGAGGCCCAAGGGCTTGACCAGATGGAGGCCCCAGGGACCCGGACCAGAGTGGTTCGGAGGTGTGAGCCGTGTGGGTGCATCTTGGGTCCTGCTTCTGATTTGTTATGTCATATCTTTCCACTGGTTTTTTTCCTTTGCTCACTTCCTGGAGTTGAAAGTTTGACTTGTCGTTGGGTTTCTTTCTTCTTCTTCTTCTTCTTCTTTTTTTTTTTTTTGTAAGATTTTATTTATTTGTTTGAGCCACAGAGAGCACAAGCAGGGAGACCAGCAGAGGGAGAAGCAGACTCCCCACTGAGCAGGGAGCCTGACGCGGGGCTCAATCCCAGAACCCCAGGATCGCGACCTGAACTCCCCCAGGCACCCCGATACCTTCTGTTTCTTGTAACACAGGGCTTCTGACATCCGGGCTCCTCAGGGTGCTGAGCAACATCCTTGGCCTCCACCCTCCAGACAAAGTAGCGTCCCTGTCCCCTCTCGGTCGTGACAACCAAAACTGTCTCTGGAAAGTCTCCAGACACTGACTAGTGTCCCTTGTGGGCAGACTCATCCCCTCCTTTGCAAAGCGCTGATGTGCGGTGATGACCACTGAAGCCTGGTAACAGGAGTGTAACACTTCTGAAAACACAGGATCCTGACCACCCCTTCTAGCTTCCCTATTTTTCCCTGATTGTGGTTCCACTTTGTTTCTTTTTTCTTTTTTTTTTTTTTTTTCAGTTGTGAAATGTGTCCCAAAGTCTGTGGTTTAACGCTCGGCGGTGAGAGCCAGTGGCCATCGGGAGTTCTTCCTGCCTTGGCCGGCCTGTGGGCCCCACACCCCCTTGTACCTGCTGTGCCTGACACGGTACCACTCAGGCCCTTGCTTTTCCTTAGGCCCTTCTGCCTTCCTGTGTGTCCCTGAACCGCAGGGTGTTGCGCTCTGAGAGCAGACAGCATGCATGGCCCTGGCTGAGCAAGCGAAGGGCTGGGTGGCCAGACGCACCAGCACCGCTGGCTGACACTGCAGGGGTGAGGCGGGACTGTGCCAGTGTGCTCCGGGCGCCGGTTTCAGGGACTCCTGAGGTGCCGGCCACCGTGCAGAACAGGCAGAACGAGGAGACAAACTCCATCATCTCCTGATTCCAGGTGTGACCTGTCCTGGCGCGGAGCTGGTCTTCATTCTGGAACTTTCCAGACAGATGCCTTGGGATGGGGCTCTTGTCCCGCAGCACCTGGAAGCTTGCGGTCCTGGAGATTGCCATCGCCTGGTCCTGTCAGGGTCTCCCTTCTTCTGGGCTAGTTCTCTGATTTCCTTTGTCCCCCACCCTTTGTTTTCCATCTTTTATCATTTTGTTCCTCCTGCAAGATTTCTAAAACTTCATCTGTCATCTCCATCTCCCTCCTTTCTCATTCTTGAGTCCCCTCCCTTCACTCTCCCCTGCCCAGGCCCAACCCCCCTGTTCTCCTTCTCCCCTGACTTGTGGCATCTCCTCTCAACTTTGTTGCATTTCTTCTCTCCCTTTCACTTCTTGCTTCCAGGCCTTTGCTTACTGTCGGTATCGCCCCTGTGCTCTCCCCTGTTATTCCCTTCTCTCAGCACCAAATGCCAACATGGAGAAAGCTGCCTTCCAGACCACTCCAATCCTGACAGTAAAAATCAGCCTGTTTTTTTATTTGTTCAGAAGAATGACCCCCCCACACCTCTGCCTCAAATGGGGGGCGGGGCGGAGCATGCAGTCCGAAAACAACGACCCTGGGATCCTCTGCCCCTGGGCCCAGGGCAACAGTTTTGAGGCAGAAGCACGGGATCCGAGGGGCCAGGGCTCAGGCACTGCGGTGAAGTGGGCGGGCACAGCAGGTGCTGCGGGGACTCCCAGGCCCACCTGGCACCTGAGGACACTGAGGCACACACGGAGGAGGCGGCCCTTAGCCGCTGGCTCAGGCCCGGACCTTGGGGCCTCCGGGGCCTCTGCAGGTAGCTAGGAGCCCGCCAGGTGCCGGTGGAAGTAGAGGCCGAAGAGGCTGGAGAGCAGTTGGCAGGCTGCTGTCCACCAGATGACGAAGGTGAGGACCGCGCGGAGGAATAGAGGCGTGAGCAGGCTGCCCAGCGCCCCAGCGATCCGGGCCGCCGTCTGCTGGGCCTCATCCTCCCCGAGGCCCACCAGGCGGTCGCGGGCTGAGGACGCGGCGGGGGACAGCGTGGGGACCGGACCCGGCCCCCAGGAGTAGCCGCCTGTGCGGAGAAGAGGGTGGAGGGAGGGAGGGGTAGAAGTACAGGCGGGGTTTGAACTTCTGGGATCCTCCCCCAGCCCCAGGCTTCACCTCTTACCCCGCCCCCACCCCCAACTCTTTTTCTCCTGCCTCCCACCCCAACTTCGGCCCGCCTCCTACTCGCCCCTCCTCCGAGCCCTCCAGGCTCCGCCTCCGCTCTTTGCCAAGTCCCGCCCCGCCACCACCTCGCTCCCTTTCAGCCCCGCGGGGCTTCGCTCCCCCGCCGCCCGCACCTCCACGCACCCGACTCCGACCCTACGCGCCCCGAGCCGCTTCTCACCCAGCGTCTTGAGCAGCAGCGTGCAGCTGAGGGTGAGAATGAGCGGCGTCAGGTACTGCAGGCTCACCACCGTAACGTAGCAGTAGACGCGCACCACCTAGGGGGCCGGTAGCAGGGACTACGTGGGGGAGGGAGCTTTCTGGGCTTCCGGTAACCCTAAGCCCCAGGGACAGGGACCCCTGCCCTGAGCCCCAGGTCCCCTCCCAACCTTCGGTGCCCATACCCGCCTCTGGATCTCACGGGCCTCTATGCGGCCGGCCTCCCGCCGCAGCTGCTCCACGCGGGTCTTGGCCAGGCACAGGTAGGCCTGCAGGTGAGGCCTGGTCACAGCCAGCCTTAGCAGGCACAAGGCCACCAGCACCCAGAGGCGCAGGGAGTTGAAGGCTGAGTCTGACAGCCTGTGGGGAGGGAAGTGAGGGGGCTAGGGAGGCCTCCCCTGCTCCAGGATCACCCCCAGGATCCAAGGCTTCTCCCTGAGCCTCAGAGACTGGGCTACACAGCACCCACCCTGCACCCCTACCCCACTTCCCTCACCCCCCCCACACCCCGTCCAGGCACCATCGGATGCGCACAGGGGGAGGGGCACCTCCCCCAGGGGTGCCTGGTGCAGGAAGTCCCGTGCAATGGGTTTGGTCCAGAGCCACAGGATGATCAGAGGGGACACGAAGCTGGTATGCAGAAGGAACCTAGGGATAAGGTTACAGAGGAGTGAGGCCTGGGCACCCACCATCCCCCTAGCCTCTCCTTTAGATTCCCACTCCCCCCGCCCCCCAGTCTGGCACTCTGCATTAACTGCAGCATGGGCCGGTCCTCCGACATGGTCAGTGCATCCAGGTGTGTCTGGGCCAGCCGCAGGCCTGGAAAGGTGAGGAAGGCACCCAGCATGGATCCCACGAATGCCAGCCCTATGCGGACGGCCAGCTTGGCCAGAGGGAGCCTGGGGAAGAAGAGAAGGGTCAGGAGGCCCCAAAGCCTGTTAGCACCACCCACCTAAAAGTCCGAGCCAGCCCTTGCCCCACCTCACTTCCCAGGACTCACGCCCAGTCCCAGCCCTGCGTCTTCAGAAGTGGCTCCAAGTTCTGGGTCATACTCGCCAGGCCTGGGGAAGACAAGGAGAGAGCAGTGTCTAGTAGACCCCTGGAGACTCACTGTCTGCTCTGCCCCCCTCCCAGATAGACTTTTGCTCCACCGGTAGGAATGTACCTGTGGGAGCCAGCCCCAGGCCAGGCAAAAGGAAAACTTTATTGTGTTCTGGTTATGTGCGTTTTTTTGTTTTGTTTTAAAGAACAGGAAAATGTATCAGGCAGACACCCTTGACTGGACTGGGGGAAAGAAAGGCGGGGGAGGGGGGACCACTGAGTCTGAGTTTCTGGGACTGTACCAGGAATCTGGAGGGGCATGAAGGACTCCCATAGGAGAAAGCCAAAATCCTCGAAAGAATCCTCAGTTCAGGCCCTCGGATTTTCCGCAGAGTAAAAGCAAATAAAAATGAGCTTACAAACCAAATCACCAAACACACCACTGAACAAATCACCATAAAGCCGGGGGGGCAGGGGAGAGAAGTTTAGACCCTACAGACTATAGAAACTTTGCAGGTGTTATTATGTGTGAAATTACTGAGGAAAATAACAGGTGGAATCACAGAACAGGCAAATGAGGCTACCTTAGATGACCAGATATATCTGCAAAGGAACCAGTTAAGTTCATCCAAAGGGAAAATACAATTATTGAAATGATAGGTTGTTAAATGGCATATTGAAAACAGCCAAAGAAAGAATGAATGAATTGGATCTGAAGAAATCACTCAGATTCCAACTCAGAAAGATAAAAAGGTAGGAAATGTGAAGGGAGATTAAGAGATAAGGAAGACAGAATAGAGAGTCCAGCATAAGTCAAATAAGAGCCCCAGAGAGAAAAGGGAAGAGAGGATGGAGGAGGAGAGGGGATTTGGAAGTTGGAAAGACTGTGGAATGAATGACACACACAAAGTATATCAAACCAGAGTAATACAAAGAAATCCATACCTAGACACCGTAGTGAAACTGGAATACCAAAAACAAAGAGATCGCAAAGCAGCCAGGGATTTAAGACAGATCACCTATAGAGGAAAGACAGTTAGACTGGCAGCCAATGTCAACAGCAATCACAGAAAAAGAACAAAAAGAAGGTGGAATGGTAAGATGGTAGAAACAATGCTAAATATGTCAGTAATCATAATAAATGTAAGCGGATTAAACTTTGAAGTTAAATGACACAGACTGTCAGACTTGAAACTATCTCGCTGTTTTTTTAAGAGATATAACTCAATACAAGGTCCCTGTAAGTTGGGGGAAAAAAAGGGATGTTAAAAAGATGTGACAAATACTAATCAAAAGAAAGGTGGTATTGTATATTTGAGAGTTGCTAAGAGTACATCTTAAAAGTTTTCATTGTAAGGAAAAAAAGTTTTATGTGTAAAAAAGGAAGTTAAGCAGATTTATTGTGATTGTTTTGTAATACATACAAATATTGAATCATTATATTGTGTACCTGATACTAACAATGTTATATGTCAATTATATCTGAACTTAAAAAAAAAAAAAAGCTGAAAAGACTATATTATTACCAGATAAACTAGTGTAAGACAGTATTCTTAGGATCAGAAGTGGTTAATATACTATGATAAAATGGTTGATTCGCCAGGTATATACAGAAATTCTACGCTTGTAAATACCTTGTCAATTAGCCACAAAACATAAAGAAAACACTGACTGGGGTGCCTGGGTGGCTCAGTTATTTAAGCATCTGACTCTTGATTTCAGCTCAGGTCATGATTTTAGGGTTGTGAGATTGTGCCCTGCACCAGGCTCAGCACTGGGCATGGAGCTTGCTTGGGATTCTCTCTCTCTCCTTTTGCCCCTTCCCCCCTCTAAAAAAAAAAAAAAGAGAGAGAGAAAAGGAAAGAAAGAAAGAACGAAAGAAAGAAAAACAAATCATAATGGAAACTTAAAAATACCAAGAACTGTGTGATAATGAAGATTACAAATCAAAACTTAAAGTGGGACTTAGTAAAATATTTATAGCCTTCCATGCTAGAAATGCTAGAAAGAGAAATAGAAGAAGCTGAAAATTAATGAGCTAAATAGCCAACTAAGAAATTGAAAACAAGAAAAAGAAGCCTACCAGAATAGTGCTAGAAAATCCAGAGGTCCTAGCCACACAAGAGAGAAAGACTGGAAAAGATAAAAGAAAAACCAAAAGAACCCACAATTGACTAAAAATACAATTGTACAGCAAGGTTGTCCCATGGAAGAACACTCAGTTTCATCCCTACCTCATAAGACAGTAGTGAACTACCAGGAGTTTAAGGGTTTATGCGAAAGGCAAAATTGAAATATCATGTCGGAAAATATAAAATATCTTTCTGATTGTAGGGAAGAGAGGGGAATATCTTCAAGACAAAAATCAACTAAAATAAGGAACTGCTATTCATCAGAAGAAACCAGAGGTGAGGGCTGCAGCTATATTTAGTGGCTGAGCCCAAAAAAGTATGGTGTATTCATGTGCAGAGAATAATGCAAACGACGCTAAATGAATCTAGGTCAAGAGCATTAGAGGATTCTTCCTCTAAGAATCCTCATTAGAGGATTCTTCCAACCATTCTGCAGGTTTGGAATTTTTCAAAATAAAACTGAGGACAAATTTTTTTTTAAGATTTTATTTATTTGACAGACAGAGATCACAATTAGGCAGAGAGGCAGGCAGAGAGAGAGGAAGGGAAGCAAGCTCCCTGCTGAGCAGAGAGCCCGACACGGGGCTCGATCCCAGGACCCTGGGATCATGACCTGAGCCGAAGGCAGAGGCTTTAACCCACTGAGCCACCCAGGCGCCCCTTGAGGACAATTTTTTTAAGATTTTATTTTTAAGCAATCTCTACACCCAACACAGGGCTTGAACTCACAACCCCAAGATCAAGAGTTGCATGCTCCACCCACTGAGCCAGACAGGTGCTCCACAATTTTTCTAAGACCAAAAAAAACACCACAAAGAAAGTAAAAAGCCATGCCACAGATTTGAAGACACACTCCCCATCCCCCACTTTAACTTCTTTAAAATTGGAATACACATGACCATTGATGACATGCACTAGTCTAAGTAACAGTGTTTTTAATCTTTTTTCTGCGGTTCCAGAAATAATGGTGTATCATATTTCATAGAAGGAAGTATGTGCCACACATGTAACAAAGGATCAATTCCCACGGTATATAAAGAAACTCTACAAATCAACAAGGAAAAAAATAATAAAGATACACAGCCCAGAAAAGCTTCATAAAACATTGGATTCGGTGATGATGTCTTAGATCTGGCACCAAAAGTATGAGCAACAAAAGAAAATATAGACCAGCTGGACTCATGAGAATAAAAACATTTTGTACATCAAAAGATACTACCAATGGAGTGAAAAGGTAACCCACAGAATGGGAAAAATATTTGCAAATCATATATCTGATAAGGGACGAATATCCCAAATATATATACAGAACTCCTAAAACTCATCACCGCCCCCCAAAAGAAAACAACAAAAAACAAAAACCCCAGGTTCAAAAATAGGCAAAGGGGGCATCTGGCTGGCTTGGTTGGTGGAACGTGTGACTCTTGATCTCAGAGTTATAAGTTCGAGCCACAAGTTGGGTGTAGAGATTACTTGAAAATAAAATCTTTGAAAAAGAAAAAAAAAATAGACAAAGGAGTTAATAGACAATTTCTCCAAAGAAGATATACAGATGACCAACAAGAATAAGCAGATGGGCTCAGGGGCGCCTGGGTAGCTCAGTTTGTTGAGCCTCTGCCTTCACCTCAGGTCATGATCTCGGGGTCCTGGAATCGAGCCCTGCATCGGGCTCTCTGCTCGGTGGGGAGCCTGCTTCCCCTCTCTCTCTGCCTACTTGTGATCTCCCTTTCTGTCAAAAAAAAGAAAAAAAAAAAAGATGTGCTCAACATCACTCATCATTAGGCAAATACAAATAAAAACCACAATGAGATACCACTTCACACCCACTAGGATGGTCACTCTTAAGGAAAAAGAAAAGGAAGATAACACATGTTGTTGAGGATGTGGGGAAGCTGGAAATCTTGTGCACAGCTGGTAGGAGCATAAAATGGTGCAGCCACCCAAGAAAACAAGTTTGTTGACTCCTCAAAAAATTAAACAGAGAATTACTACATAATCCAGCAATTCCACCTCCGGATCTGTACCCAAAAGAATTAAAAGCGGGGACCTGTATACCCATGTTCATAGCAACACTATTCGCATCAGCTGAAACACAGGAGCAACAAAAATGTCCACCAATACATAAATGGATAAGCAGAATGGGATATATTCCTACAAACAGAACACTATTCAGTGTTTAAAAAGGGAGGAAATTTGAAGGCAGCGTGGATGAACCTTAAGGACGTTATGCTGAATGAAATAAGCCAGCACAGGGCGCCTGGGTGGCTCAGTGGGTTAAAGCCTCTGCCTTCGGCTCAGGTCATGATCCCAGAGTTCTGGGATCGAGCCCCATATCAGGCTCTCTGCTTAGCAGGGAGCCTGCTTCCTTCTCTCTCTCTCTCTCTCTGCCTGCCTCTCTGCCTACTTGTGATCTCTCTCTGTCAAATAAATAAACAAAATCTTAAAAAAAAAAAAAAAAAGGAAATAAGCCAGCACTGAAAGACAGCTATTGCATGATTGCCCTCATATGACGTGTCTAGGGTGGCTGGATTCCTAGAGACAGAAAGTAAGATGGCGGGCACCAGGGGCTGGGGTGGGGGGGAAATGGAGAGTCAGTGTTTAATGGGGACAGAGTTTCAGATTTGCAAGATGAAAAGGGTGGGGAACGGATGGTGATGATGGTCACCATGAGGTGAATATGCTTAATGCCACTGGAATGGACTCTTAAAGACAATTAAAATAATAAATGTTATGTGTATTTTACCACAATGAAAAAAATGGAGGGAAAAACACATACCACGTCAAAGAAAAATGGGCAACAAACATGAAGAGGCTCTTCAAAAAAGAGGAAACAAGAATCTTGACTAGACAGGAAAAGCTGCTCAGCCTCCCAGGTAATCGGAGAAATGCACGTTAAGACCACTAAAGGCATCATTTCCCACCACTAGATGGGCGAAAATCAAGCACTTCCCATAGACCTCAACTCACTTACACCTGACCATGTCCCTGTAAGGTTCACCACCTTACAAGCAGGGAGGTGAGGCAAGGGGCTGGTGCAACTTCGCCCATGCTTGCCCAGAGTGGCTGGGACTGAGTCCGGGGTCCACCCTCGGAAGCCCCGGCTGCATGGCTGGTGGGCGTGCGGAGAGAACTGCTCTGAAAATGCCGAGGCACCATCTTATGAAGGTGAACACATCCCCCTCGTCCCCAGATCCCGTGCCCAAAAGAAATGCCTGCACATGCATACGAAGAAACGTACAAGAATGTTCCCTATAGCAACTGTGAAAAAAGCTCAAACCTGGAAACCACCTAGATGTCCAGCAACAGGACACCGGACAAATAAAGACAAGGGGCCTCACAACAGAACGACATTCATCTGTGTGAAGAGAGAAACGAAAGCTGCCCAGACCAACAGGGCCTCGTTCTGTAAACAATATCAAAAAGACTGAAAAAAAGCACCAGCCAGCAGATTACACACTGGCGGACACCACCCACAACAGCAAGCAAACTACGATGAATTCTTTAGGGACAGAAACATATGTGATGAATGGGGAGCCTGGGTGGCTCAGCCAGTTAAGAATCCAACTCTTGGTCTCAGCTTGGGTCTTGAGTTCAGGGTTGTGAAGTTTAAGCCTTCCATTGGGCTCCACACTGGGCATGGAGCCTACTTAAAAAAAAAAAAAAAGGCAAAAGAATGATAAACACAAGATTTGAGAGACTAGTTGGGGCTGTGAGTAGGAGAGGAAGGTGGGAGGATTGGAAAGAAGCACCAGAGACATGCAAGAACGTTGGGAAGGTTCTAGTTCTCATTTAAGAAGTGAGTTTGTGGGGGCGCCTGCGTGGCTCAGTGGGTTAAAGCCTCTGCCTTCGGCTCAGGTCATGATCCTGGGATCCTGGGATTGAGCCCCACATCGGGCTCTCTGCTCAGCGGGGAGCCTTCTTCGTCCTCTCTCTGCCTGCCTCTCTGCCTACTTGTGATCTCTCTCTCTCTGTGTCAAATAAATAAATAAAATCTTTAAAAGAAGAAGAAGGAGGAGGAGGAGGAGGAGGAGAAGCAGGTAGAAGTAAAAGTAGAAGAAAAAGCAGGGAGAATTGGTGAAAATAAAGGTCAAGGAGCACAGCAAGGCTGTGCACAGCAGAGTGAGTATTTTGATCTTTATCCAAAGACCACTAGAGTCTGGCATCAGGCAGAGAAGTGATATGATCCAGATTATATTTTTGGAAGATCATCCAAAGAATAGAGAAAGTCAAAAGAAAAATGGGAAACTAAGAAAAAATATTTGCAACTACTATCACACACAAAGACTAATGTCTCTAATATATAAAGAGCTCCTACATATCAATAAAAGGGTCAATAACTCACTAGAAAACTGGGCAAAAGAACAGACCTTTCTGGAAGGCAGATAGAAATGACTTTTCCACATCGGAAAAGATGCTCAACCTCGCCTACGTTTCACCCATCAGGTTATCCAAGACAAAAAAAAGTCCAAAGAAACACATTGGAGAGAATATGGGGAAGTAGGCACTTCATTAATCTTTTCCTAAATGGCAATTTACAACATTACTGAAATTACAAATGCACTTACTTGCACAGGGCCGCATTCCCATATGACTATGGGCTATGGGCTATGGGCTATTCCCATATGACACTGTTGTAACACAACATGGTTTTGAACAATAACATTTAATAGTAAAAGACTTAGATGTCCAGAAGTAGGGGACTGGTTAAATAATCATGAAACCTTGGGGCGCCTGGGTGGCTCAGTGGGTTAAGCCTCTGCCTTCGGCTCAGGTCATGATCTCAGGGTCCTGGGATAGAGCCCCGCATCGGGCTCTCTGCTCAGCAGGGAGCCTGCTTCCCCCTCTCTCTCTGCCTCTCTGCCTACTTGTGGTCTCTGTCTGTCAAATAAATAAATAAAATCTTTTAAAAAAAATCATGAAACCTCCATAAAATGAAATACTATGTGGAAGTTATTAAAAAAAAAAAAAACAAAGCCCACCCACACTGTATGTTGTGTCAAGGGACAATCTCCAAATTGATGCTTTTTAAGGAAAAAAGACAAGGTGTAGAGCCATCAACACTACTGTTTTATGGGGATAAAGGAAAGTGGCCTCCCAGTTTTCCTCTTGGAAAGGGAGCCAACGTGGGTGATTTTTACTCTATGTATATCCTCTTGTACTTTGTGAATGCTGTGCCATTTACCCATTTCCTTCACCAAATTAAATTAGAATGGGGAAATAGGAAATCATTACAGCTGCCTTGGAGAAGGGCAGAGGCGGGGAACAGAAGTGCCCTGCGAAGAACTACAGCTAAAGGGGGCACCTGGGTGGCTCAGTGGGTTAAAGCCTCTGCCTTCAGCTCAGGTCATGATCTCAGGGTCCTGGGATCGAGCCCCGCATCGGGCTCTCTGCTCAGCGGGGAGACTGCTTCTCTTCCTCTCTCTGCCTGCCTCTCTGCCTACTTGTGATCTGTCAAATAAATAATAAAAAAATAATAAAATCTTAAAAGAACTACAGCTACGGGCCGCCATCAGAGGCAGCGAGACTGGACATCCTCTTACCCTAAAGCCCCAGGAGACCCCAGGACAGGAAGCAGCCCTAGAGACTACTCAGGCCCAAGGAGGCCCCCTCCCTTCACCTGTCCTGTGTTTCCGTGAGGGAGTGATGGGCATGGTGACCCCAAACGGTGCACGTACCTGGCTCCAGGCCCAGCTCGAGAGTCTCCTCCTGGACCACCTGCACCAGCATGGCCAGGAGCAGGAAGAGGAAGGCAAAGGTGAGGCAGACAGAGCGTTCGCCCCCCTCCTCTGCACTGAAGTACAACCGGGTCACCATCAGGAACATCTTGCTGGGGGCAGGGCTAAGGAAGCCCGGAGCAGCTAGGGTGCCCCTTCCCCACTCCCCTACTCCCAGCCAGGGATTCCCCCAACTGCAGAACCCACACACCAGCACTGGAGTCCGGCGTCTCGGGGAGTAAGTCGGTGACCCAGGAGAAGAGCGAGCCACCGAACAAGCTGAAGACAAGAGGTCCAATGCGGCTCACGCCTATGTCCGCAGGCTTGGGGTGTGGGTGGGTGGCAGGTGTGCCTGGGCCTCTAGTTGGGCCTCAGCACACTCCCTGTGGCCATTTCTTTCTTTCCTTTTTAAAAACATTTATTTTAGAGAGAGAGAGAGAGAGTGCGAGTGGTGGGGAGGAGCAGGGGAGGAGGGTGTGGGAGAGGGAAAGAATGTCAGGCAGACTCCATGTCAAGCTTGGAGCCCCAGTCAGGGGCCTCTATCCCATGACACCGACACCATGATCCCAGCTGAAACCAAGAGTTGGGCGCTCAACCAGGCACCCCTCCCTGTGGCCATTTCTCCCTGAAAGAGCTAGCAAGTCCGTTTCTTCAGGAGGTCTGGCCTCCCTGACCCACCTAGTCCGGCTGCATTTGCAACAGGGGAATTTCCCGTTCCTCTGAGAAGCTCTCAGAGATAAAAGGGCTGTATGTATCCCGAATCTGCCCCGAAAGAAACCCGTGGGGCTTTCCAGAACCAGTGTGGGCTTCAAGATGGACTCTTCTGCACAAACCCATTCCATGAGCGCATTTTCTCAGACTTGGGTCCTCAGTGTCACAGGTTTCCCTCTGTTCCCGGGACAGCTTCATAAAAAAACATAGAGGGTTGGAGCCTCACATCAGGCTCCCTGCTCAGCAGGAAGCCGGTTTTTCCCTCTCCTTCTCCCTCTGCCTGCCACTCTCCCTACTTGTTCTCTCTCTCTCTCTCTCTCTCTGTCAAATAAATAAATAAATAAATCTTTTTTTTTTTTTTAATTAAAAAAAAAGAAGAAAGAAAAAAGCAGAAAGCAGAGGGGGCATCTCTTTTCCTGTCCCTGCATCTGGGCCGGTGACTTGCTTTGACTGAGAGAAGGGACAGGGATGGGGGTGGGCCAACTTCCTGCAAAGCCTCAGGAGGCTCGCAGCACCCCTTCCTCCTTGCTGGTGTTTCTGCTGCTAGGAGGAAGCCTGGCTTACCCTGCTGGAAGGTGGGACCCCTTAGAGCAGAGATAAGGCTGTGGGGCTGAGCCCAGCCCAGGAGGAGATCAAATAGAATAGTGACCGTTTTACACCACCACCCAGTTCTGGGGAGTTTTGTGGGACAGCAGCTGATAACTGATATACCAATTCCAGGACAGGGGGGAAGGAAAGCTCCAGTCCGGCTCCCACATGCCTCCCGCCTCCCTGATCGCCTCGGCAACCTGAGGAAGGATACACGGAGAAGGCGACGGTGAGTAGGCACCAGAACACAGCGATGTTGGTCTCCTTGGCCGGGCCCAGCACATAGTAGTAGGCCTCTGTGAAGACATACACACCGCACGAGTACACGGCGAAGTCCACGAACCACTGGTACTCCAGGAAGAAGCGCAGGACTGTGGGGAGTCCGCGGCTCAGTCCACAGCCCCACGCAGGACACCCCCCTTACCAATCCCCCCGGGGTGTAGGCTGAGGCTGGGATGCTGGGGACCAGCTGGACTGTTACCGAGGGCATCAACTGCTGTGAGGGGGCAGGTCTCCAGTTGGAAAGGGGCATCTCGGGGCACAGACAAGGGCTTTTCTTCACTATAGCCATTGGCCCACCTGTTGGGGGTGGAGGCGGTAAGGGGAGGAGGAATGTCAGACCAGCATCCTCTGATCTCTCCTCCCCAGCCAGACATGGCAGCCCTCCCCACACCAGTCTGGAAGGTTCCACTGTGCTATCCTCGAAACACAAGAGGAGCTGGCTTGGGAGGTGCCTTCTCCCCAGCCAGGGTCTGCACACCCGGGTGCAGAGGCCACCTGCTCACAGGGCTGGCCCAGAGCAAACTGTCAGCTGGAGGCAACCAATGAATGACATTGACATCTTCTTAATCTGGGGTGTCCACCACTCTCCTCGGTGCCCAGAACTGCACCTGGAAGGGAAGCCGTTCCCCTAAGTCTGGGGCCTCACTCACCGCTCCTTCCTGCCTCTGGGCCTCGGTAGCTTTCCCTCCAGGGCCCGAAGCTCTTCCTCAGTAGGGTGCTTGTATCGGAAGAGACTGAGGGCAAAGACCGAAAGTCAGGAAAGCTCCAGCATGGAGGGCTCAAGGCAATGAATCCTCAAACCCAGGACTGGTGTCAGGGGGAGACCTGGACCCAAAATGCATAGGGACAGGATGGGCAGGGGCTATGCAAAACCAGGGGAACGCCTGGGGGGTGGGCTGGGGGATTGCTGGGGGGAGTGCTGTGAGCAGCTCTGGGGAGATGGCAGGGTGGCCGGGAGTCCCAGACACCCCTGAATCTGCCGGCTATCTCTTCTGGTGGAGCAGGCATGTGCCTTGTCCTGGAGGGAAAGTTCAGTTTCCACTAGGTCTCAGAAAGGATCCGAGATCCCAACAGGGACAAAAAGCACTGCAGGAAACAGATCTACAGCGAGAGTAGTGTGGAAGGGGGTTTAGATTCCAGGAAGGCAGGAGTGGGGGAAAGCAGCTGCTCTTCCCAGTGTGGAAATGTGGTCTCGCGGGTATGGACATCTGTCAGAACGGATCCAACTGTGTGCTTCAAATATCTGCAGTTTATTGTATGTCAGTTATATCTCCATAAAGTTGTTTTTAAAAACACTTTGGAGGGCGCACGGCAGGGATGGGAGAAAGCCAAGGGGGTGGGGCCCGGAGGGGGCTCCTCCCACTGCCCGGGGCGGGGCTGCGGCTCACCTGCCGTTGCAGAGCAGCCAGCGTGCGAAGGAGCAGTGCGGTGCCAGCCTGTGCATGAGGGTGGCGGTGAGCAGGGTCACCACCAGCTGCACTCCCAGGACCGCCTGGGGGGAGGGGACACGAAGGGCAGTGCCTGCCAGGAGGTCACAAGCTCACTGCCTCAGAACTCAGGCTATTTATAGAGAGGCTGGGGCCAGGTTGGAGAGGGCGGGCGTCCTGGGTTCCAGCTGCGTCTTGAAGGAGGGGTCTGGGGTGGGCTCAGACTCAACTGGGGGAGCCCCTGCTGTGTGTGGATTCCCGCACTCCCTACCACCCGCACCTAGCTGGGGGGTAGGGTGGTGGAGAGCTCACGCTGGGGTTCACTTCTGGCCTTTGCTATGGATTTCAGGTATTCATCTCCCTGAGGCCTCAGTTTCCCCATCTGGAAAGGGGGTGCTGCCTATTTTGTTTTATGTACTGTCAAGACCACTATCCGGACCTACAAGGAGCACAGCCAGTGAAAGAGGCTCCCTTCCGTAGTTCCCCCTGGCAGCTCCGCGTCCCTCTTTCCCACCGGAAATTATCCTCATGATTCCATCGCCCTCTCCTTCTCCCTCCCTTTGTAACCAACCTCCTTGAAAAGCCTATTTCTGGCCACTACCAGTCTCAGGACAAAAGACTTACACATATGAAGGGGATGGCTTTTTTAAATTAGGAATTTCTCACTAAGTTCTACATAACAAAGTTTTTACCAATTCATAACACGTTTTCCTATATTAATTTTAAAACGTTTTAGAAGAAATGCTTTTGGTAATCAGTCTGAAGCTGGGTTTTCCTGCTTGAATGCAGTAAACACCAATTTGGTATCAGTAATTATGCAATTATATAAAATTATGTGCTCAGGAGTGCTGTCGACTAGCATTATGATATAATTAACAACTAAAGTGAAATAAAGATTACTTTAATATTAAAATTAATTATTAAAATTATCCTTTTAATCAGGCAAGACTATGCTGACTTCAGTAGGAAAAGCTCTAATGTGATGGGTATCGGGCCAACACAGTAATTCAGAACTACTGCTGAGAAATCCATCATTAAGATAACTAACAGGATATTTTCTCTATGCCTGTAACTTGTAAACCAGAAACATTTTCTCAGTAATGAGGTCGGGGCCCCAACTTTCTGGTCATTAAATCTCACTAATTTATTCTCACTGCCCACCCTCCCTAACCCCCAAGTGCTGGCTGGCTAGGGGTCACTAAAGACCTTGGGGACAAGCACAGTCAGGGAGCCCCCTGCCAAGATCAGTGCAGCTCCTCCCACGATCCTCTCCAGTCCTTTCCCGTGCCACCCCCAGCCTCCCATCCGCGACTCTCCAGACATCAGATCCTGGGGCTCCCCTGCTGATTTTCCTCTTCCCTCTGTGGCCTCCACCCTGTGACTCAATCTCCTGCTAGGTTTTTAACCACCTACGGCCCTGCACGACCCCAACACAGCGGCACCTCTAGCCTGCACCTCTATGCGTAGCACGCAGACCCTCTAGGTCTCTAAAGGCCCCAGTACCCGCCCCTCATTCCCGCGGACACAGCACTCGGCCCTTTCTGGTGAGTCGTGATGTAAGTCAACATCCAAATCTTTTTTGCAGCCTGCAACTCTTGGAGTGTCCAACTCAAGACACCCTGCCTCTCACTGGCCGGCCTTCTCCGTAGCCCTCTCTGCGTCAATTCACTGGGGTCTCAGAGGCCCTCCCAGACCCCTGGCCTCTCCACTGCAGACACCTATCACCCTCTGACACCTCCCAGGGAGGAGACCGTTGTTCAAGCTTCCGTCCCAGCACCTAGGACAGGCAGGATGGAAGGAAGGAAGGAGAGAGGGAGGGAAGAAGGAGAAGCAGGGAGGAAGGGAAGAAGGGAAGGAAGACAAGCTTCCCTTCACCTAAAGCTCCTGAGGTCTGTCCAGGGATATATTTCAAGCCCCGCCCCCCAGCAGCCTCCGGTCTTGTCCTGCCTCTGCAGATTTCCAAAGATACCTGGAGCCTCCCATCAGCTCACGTCCCTTTTCTGCTCAGTCTTTCCCTGGACCTACAATCAGAATAGGAGACTCCTGCTACCTGCTAACACCAATAAGGCTTTCCTCCATCCTGTTCTCGAGAACCCTTCCGATTATCTCCCATTCCTTCCCGCACCCAGGCCTGGAACCATGTCCACTTTTCAGGTTCAGGCGCACTTCCAACGCCCCTCCTTGGGAAATCCTCCACGCAGGGTCCGGTCGTCCTCCGGCGCCCCTCCTCTGCCCAGTTCGAACATTTAGGGGTTGGGAGTTCCCGCTCTCGCCCCGCATCAGCCTGACCCACCCACAGTGACCAGGCTAAGTCTGAAGAATAAACTCAATAGGTTGGACCCAGGGCTGCGTGAGACCTGAAGCTTCCGACTGTGCTGTCTCCGATTCTGGGACCCTCGCCCGCCCCGAAACCACGCAGATCCCCTTGGTTTGGCTCCTCCTCTCAGGGCTCTCCCTGGCCCTTCCACACACCTAAATCCACGCAGCGGCCCTCATGCTTCCGCAGGACCCATGTCGCCAGCCTGGGCTCCAACGGGACCCCCAAATTCCCCAGCGATGATCTGTGCGTTCCCCAGTCTCCTTCGCGGGGCTGTGACCCCTCGGCAGGACCCCAGGCCCCTAGAGGGCCCTCAGAGATCTTCCAAAATTCCCGAACGCTCGGAAGCCTCCAATTCTTTAGGCAGAACCCCCAACCCCCACATAGGTCCTGCAGGAGACTGAACCCAGAGAGGAACACATGGCCCTCAGCGCGACCCAGAGCCCCTCAGAGTTCCCAATCCCTACAAAGGGATCCCAGTCCCCTCGGTGTCTCCCTGGACCCCCTCAGCGGGATCTCCTGCCCCTCAGTCAAGGCCCCACCCCCACCCCCATGCCGCTGGCTGCCGGCTCACCATGTCGCCGGCGGGAGTGCGGTCCGCTGACCTGAAGCTCCGGGCGGCTCTCGGGAATCCAGCCAATCAGAGCCCGATCTTTCTGACAAACAGCCCGTAGGACCAATTGTCAGGCTGCAGCTGGAGCAAGCCACGAGGGACACGAGGTCGCTCGCGTTGCATGCTGGAAATTGTAGTTCGAAGACCCACGGCGAGCTCAGGCACCCGTGGAGTCAGGACTCTCTGGTACCCTGTGTGGCTGCCCTCTCTGAGATTTAGTCTCCAAGCCTCTGCACCCATCTCGCAGGTCTGAGGCAAATTCACTCTCCCGCTGGAGAGTTCTGAGTGTGGAACTCCCCTGATCAAGAACATTCGCTGACTCCCACTGAATAGACTCCCAAGTGCTCATGGTCTCATAGTAAAGTGCTCTACCTGATTTCAGTCTGCCGCCGGCATATTGTACACACTAGAATAAAGCTTGCCACTGGCCATGCTATCTGTAAATGCTATCTTTCATCTCGGAATACCTCCTTTCTCAATCTTTTTCATTTAGCAAAGCCTTATTCATTTCTATAAGTCAGGACTCTGATTGAACACACACACAATGCACACACACACACACCCCAACTCAAATGGGCTCCAGCAAAAAAAGGGAAAATTTTGTGACAAAGAATTCTAAAAGCATAGTGAGCTTCAGGCATGGCTAGATCAAGGACAAAAAAAAAAGTCAGTCTCTAGAATCCAATATATTGTGTTTTGAGGCTTGGAGGAAAGGGCTTCTAGCATGGGTACTTAAGTTTTTATGGATAAGTGTGTCTACCTGAATGTGGACATAAATGTGGGTATGATGAGATGTCTGAGCTGTTTTTTTTTTTTTAATTTTTAAAATATTTTTTTAAAAGATTTTATTTGACAAAGACAGAGAGATCACAAGTAGGTAGAGCAGCAGGCAGAGAGAGAGGGGGAAGCAGGCTCCCCGCTGAGCAGCAAGACGGATGCGGGGCTTGATCCCCGGACCCTGAGATCATGACCTGAGCCAAAGGCAGAGGCTTAACCCACTTGAGCCACCCAGGTGGCCACCCCCCCTTTTTTTGAGAGAGAGAGAGAGAGAGAGCAAGTGAGAGAGAGCTTGAACTGGGGGGAGGGGCAGAGGGAGAGGAACAAGCAGACTCCCCCCTGAGCAGGGAGCCCAATGTAGGGGCTTAACCCCAAGATCCTGGGATCATGACCTGAGCAGAAAGCAGTCACTTAACTGACTGAGTCACCCAGGCATCCCAGATGTCTGAGGATTTTTATGGGGCCTGTGAGAGGGGCCTGTATAGTTGATTGCCTTGTCTCTGTGGGTGTTACTGTTTTTTAAGATTTTTTTTTTTGACAGGCAGAGATAACAAGTAGGCAGAGGGAGAGTGGGAAGCAGACTCCCCGTTGAGCAGAGAGCCTGATGCGGGGCTCAATCCCAGGACTCTGGGATCATGACCTGAGCTGAAAGCAGAGGCTTTAACCCACTGAGCCACCCAGGCGCCTCTCTGTGGGTGTTTTTGTCTTTGTTTATGAGCACATATGGATGTCTGTTTGCAGGGGATTCACTGTAGTTTTGGTCCTGTGGAATCAGAGTGTCCTCCGGAGAGAAGATGGGTGACAGTTGTGGTGAGGGGCACTGGGATTTCCCTGGACCAACATGGGTTCTGTGAGCCAATCTATGAATCCACGAGGGATTCAAGGAAGCTGGGATTTGGGAAGGGTGTCAGAGAAGGGGACCAAGAAAGAAAGGAGGGATATTTGCTGCAGGTCCTCAGAATACCAGGCTCGGAGGGGTTGCTGACACCTGTGCTCCTTCCAGTACGTTGAAGTGGCAGGACGATTGTCTCCATTTCATAACAAGACACTGAGGCTCTGGGAGGCCCAAATCTCTACACGACACCTTGACCTCTCCTCCTGGACCCAGGGCTTATGAGTTTAGGTGTCCCAGTGGCGCCCATGTGGTGAACCACGGGAAATTCACACAGGTCGTCCTGATCTTCCCTCCAGCAGCTTCCCATCCTCCAGGTGATCCACAAGCTCTGGAGTTGACCTTGACTCCTCTCTCACCCATATGTGATCTGTCAGACCCTCCTGATGATGGTTCCACCTTCTAAGCATAGCCAGTCTCACCAGCCCCATGATCTCCACCCAATCAACTTCCGTCTTATCCCCGCTGCAGTCCCCAGCTCCCTGATCTATGGCTTCCACCCCCACACCTCACCTCACCCCCCCAACAGTCTATTTTTCCCAGAGCAGCTTGAGGACACTTCTTAACACTTAAGCCAGACAGTGTCCCTCCTTTGTTCTAAAATGGACACTCCTTACTCTCTACTCTACATTGGACGCGCATATTGTCTGTTCCACACTGGACACTCCTTGTTCTCTGTTCTCCACTGGGTGAACACATTCCCTGTCCTGCACTGGGTACTCCATGTTCCCTGATCCCTCCCTAGACACTCCCTATGTCTGTCTGTATTAACCTCCCAGCTTCCCTGACTACACTGAAGTCCACACTCTCATTCCACCATCTCTGTGTATGATGCTCTGGAAAATGCATCTCTCAGGTTTCCGATTCCCCATGGCTGCATTTGTGCCACAATTCCCATGATGCTTTCAGCCAGTGACTGAGCTCCTGGGAGACTCAGGGTCCCTCTGATGGTGACAATGGCTCTGACATCACCATGGTGTCCTTAGAAAGGCTGGCAGAGGACACTTTCACACAACCCTCACTACCCCCCACCCTCCTCGGGCAGAGCCAGCAGGTGCAGAGCTGGAGTCTGGACAAAAGGTGTTTTCAGAAGCCAGTAGCCTGCTGCTCACTGACCTCTTGTGACCCAGGAGACCCCAAGCTGTACAGTATAATCATACATGTGCAGGCAATATGTGACACAGTCCTTTCTGAGTCCCCAGGCTCAGACCCTGAAAACATGTGGTGAAGCCCCTGGAAGGCAAGAAGGATTTTATCTTTTAATTACTATTTCTATTTTTTTTTTTTTTTTACTTTTGAGCTGGTAGTTTTTGAGCAAAGCTCGCTCTTGGGCGCCGCCTAATGGACGATGGTGAAAGTGCAGTCTCCCAGGATGGGCATGCAGAACCACACCCACCCGCCCATGCTCCCCAACCCCTAGTCTTTGAAATCAGCCCACATTTTTAGGAACCCGACACGGGGCACTTAACCTGTGGGCACTGACTTCAGGGGCTGGCCTGGCTTCCTGTTCCCCGTGAAGGTGAGATCCAGAGGCTAAGAAGGGACCCTCTCCAGCCTTGCCTCCATTTTATCCAGCCAAGGCTTGGGACTGGAAATATTTCTAGGGGTGGGGGTCAGAGCAAGAGACATGGTGGGCGACAGGGGCAAACAGAGTGAAGGTGTGGGAGCAGCTCAGGAGCTCGGAAAGGTAAGGTCAGGGATTAGATCTGAGTGCTATAAACATCCCACGAGACAACCTCAGGGATGACTGGACGGGAGAACTAGACGGAGCTCCTCTGATTCCTGGACACCCATCTGCGCTCAGGATACCCGCCAGAGTGGGAGGAGTTTGTGCCCCCCGCCCCCCGAGTGGGTAAATAAACGCCCGGCTCCCTCCTGCCTCTGGCGGATCGAAATTGCTGGGTCAAGGGATCAAGGGATATGCCCATTAAAAGATGAATCGTGTAGTGACCGCTCCCAGCCGGCGGGTAGGTAGCGCAACGTTCAACGTTCCCAACTACTTGCTGCAAGCGATCGCAACCCAGCCTGGGAACTTGCCCTTGAGCACACGACTGGACACCCTCAGAGGCTAGTAGCCCAGCCTCTAGCTCCTGGAGTGGAACCCCTATAGGTGCGCACTCTAAGCCCCCCACCCCCAGTGGACCCAGGGACGGAAGAGGTGGGCAGCCTGCCCACGGAGTCACCTGCTCGCTGGCGCCCCCTGCAGGGCTCCTCTCTGTCACATCCCTACCCCTCAACTGCCTTCCTCCGGGATACCCACCTTCGAATCCTAGTCTCAGGATAGGATTCTGGAGGGGGGTACCCCACACCGAGACAAGGCAACACTGAGATTTCTTGGGAACAGATGGGAGGACCCGGATGTGGTGGTGGCTCTGAGCAGCGACAGCTAGTTTTGTCCATGGACACCATGAGCGTTTTATTGGTGGATACACACACAGGAAAGGGAGAAGGGAGCCCCCCCGACCGTGGATCCGAACTCCAGGCCTTCACTTTGGAAGGACGTAACTGCTGGCTCTTCTCTAACGAAGCGGGGAGGGAGACTGGGACCCCACGTGCCCTCACCCAGCCCTGCGTGGGAGGAAGGACTGGTGCCATCCCTGGGTCCATTATCGAGCCCAGCCGTCGGCTGTGGGCAGCCGGCGCAGTGGGGGCCCGGGCCGTAGGGGCTCTGCCAGGGGCCGGGACAGGAGCAAGGGATAGGGGAAAGTCTTGGGAAAGTCGCCGGGGCCCCCGGGGGCCGGCGACAGGCGTTCGGACTTGATGCTGACTGGGGGGGTCGGCGGGGAGGCGCCACGGGCGGGGAGACCCTCCTCGCTCAGGCTACGGCTCCCACTGCAGGGAGAGACAGAGAAAGAGAAGGAGGGCTGTGAGCTCGGCGAGGAAGGGAGGGAAGCCAGGGAGGTGGTATGGCTTGGGCAAAGGCTCAGCAGGAGAACCTTGGGAAAGGAGGGGGTGGCAATCCCTCTTGGGGTTTCCAAAATAGCCCCTCATCCCACCAAGAACAGAAGGCAGGGGCTGAGTGTAGAACCAGGAGTGGCCACCAGAGGTCAGCAGTGGCTAGGGCTTGGGAAGACTTGGAGGCACCACACAGCTAGGGAGGGGAGAGAGGAGGGACAGTTGGGGCACTTACCTGGGCTGGGGTGGGGCGGCTGGGGGCCCATCACCCCTCGAATGCTGCCAGGGGGCCAGGGTGGGGGGCTGCAGCAGGCCAGGGGGCGGAGGGGGGTCTCCCAGGCCATATTCTGGGGGGTAGGAGGAATAAACTGAGGCCTTCACCTCAGGGAGCCCCTTGCCCAAGCTTGACCCATCCCACCGGCCAGTTTTCAGTTCTGGTGGATGGGGAAATGCTGACCCCCACCCCCAGAAGGCAAGTGTATGGATGTATCCCAGGGCAGGGTACAATGGGGGGTGTGTACCTGGGGGACCTGCCGGGAGGAAGGGGAAACTCCCGAGTGGGGGTCCTGGAGCTGTGGCGGAGCATGGACTCTGTAGGCTACTGTAGAGGCCTCTCTGCGGGGAGACAGGGTCAAGTGGAAACTGAGGCCCACACCCACGCCATCCTGCCCTCCCCCATCAGCCCTGCCACACTTTCCCCTCACTCACTGAGGTGCTCAGTCCTCCTCGAGCCCCCGCCAGGCTTCCAGGCAGGTCCGGCCTCCGCCCGTCCGCTGATAAGTACAGGGGCGGTGGTGTCTTGCTGGCAAGGTGGCTCGGTGAGAAGAGAGGGTGTGCCAGACCTGAGGAGCAGGAAACCCCCCGAGAGAGGGCATGTGGCCACGTCATCGAATGAAGTCTGAGGTCCAGAGGTAATACACACAGACAAGCAGGGCCTGAACCAAGATCCCCCTTACAGGCCCCCCTGGGATTCCCGCCCCCTTTTGCCCCAGGGCCTATGACTCATGCTCACCTGGGGGCCCAGCTTTGGGGGCTGCTGGCCGGAAAGGGGATGGGCGGCTCTGGGCAGGAAGGGCCTCCCCAAGCCCACTGGGGTCGCAGCCTGGGGGAGGCAGGGCCCCATATACCATGTCCGGGCTGGGCATTGTAGGGGCTGCAGGCTGAGGGCAGAGAGGATGGGATTGGTTGGAAGAACATGGAGATAAGGACATCAAATCCAAGACAGAAAACCAGGGGCCAGCCTCTGCCTCCAGAAGCCCTTGCTACACTTCCTTCTGGCTCCTTCCACAAGATGAAAGGAACCTGTGTCTGGTGCTGTCACTCCTCAACAGCTAGGCCCAGAGCTGAGGCTTCTTGTTCAGCATGGTGTTGACATTGAGGGGGCTTCTCAGGGTGTTTGATGAATCAAAGAAATAAAGAAGGAAGGAAACGGCTGTCCACTGAACCCTTATTCATCTTTCAAAGCCCCAACTATAATGCCAACTCCTCCAGGAAGCCTTCCCATTCTACCTAGGCAGAGACCAGCTCCCTAACTCTAGGTCCCTGTCTCAGTCTCAGCCTTGACCATTTGGGCCTAGGAGGTGAGGGAGGGCCCCATCATCGTGGTGCGGGAAGTCACTTACATAGAGCCGGGGCCGGGGCAAGGCTGGGTCACCCCCGTCACCTGCCAACCTCCGCAGCTTCTCTCCTGGCCCCTCAGGCCCTTCATCTGGCTCCAGCTCTGGTCCATCAAGGCCCACACCCCTCCGCTTCAGTGTCTGTGGAGAGGGGAGAAAATACGGTGACCCTCCCCTCCCCCATCCTAGCCAGGGAACCTGGTTCTTTGGGAGAGGGAGGAGACCTACCCACCCACCTCTGTGGGCGGACCCATTGGAGTGCAGGCAAATCCCATTGACCAAAAACCCCGGTAAGTTATCATCTAGCAAATTCCAAATGTGTGTGAGAGAGGGACTGTCCTGCCCTGGGACCAGAGAGGCCCAGGTCACACAATGGGGGCTGGGATCCACCAGCCCTGCTGGTGCTGTCCTAACTCTCCTCCTGAATATGACCCTGGTGCCTCCATTCCGCGCATCCTGCGTGCGACAGGTGTTTCGTAAATGTTGGAGGACAACCTTCTAGGCTTTCCTGAGCTGCCTCTCCCTGGACCTGCACACTCCTGGACCCCCGCCTCTCCTTTGACCACTCCTCCCCACCCTCCTGAAACATTAGGGGGGCTCCACGCGCAGCCCTAGGCCTGCTGATCTTTCTGTCTGTGGCTTCTGCTTCCCATCTTGGGAAGAGATTCCCATTTCCAAAGGGAAGTGATCTCGCCCATCCTGGATGGCGGGTGTGGGGGATGAATCAGCTGGTGCCAGGCTACCTCTTTCTCCTGGGGACACAGCAGCTCAGACAAAAACACTCCCAGCCCTCAGTGAGGTCTCCCTTGCTTCGATGTGCCCTATATTCTGTTTCTGCCCTCGCCAAACAGGGGACAGGATTTAGTGAGATGAGCTGTGTGTGGGGCACGCCGTGGAGCCCTCGATGCCCAGTGGTGGGTGTTTTTATCTCTACAGTGGGGTCAGCTGCCCCTCGGAGGGACCCCACATTGCCTCAAACCTTTTACCAGCAGCAAAGCTAGATTGCAACACTGGTCTTTTGTGCCAACCCAGAGTCCCTAGGCTTGGAGCGAGCGCTGGGAGCTGGACATCAGGGCGCTGGGGAGGAGGGCCCCAGGGGTACCTCGAGGATGTCGGTGTTGGTGCGGCTCTCATGGGGCTCGCTGTATTCCGTGTACTTCAGGAGCACGCGGTCCATGTCCGTGCTGGCGTACTGGAAGAGGCGATTGGCGCTGTTGAAGATGATGAGGGCAATCTCACAGTCGCAGAGCACGCTCAGCTCATAGGCCTTCTTCATCAGCCCAAACTTCCGCTTCGTAAATGTCACCTGGAGCCGGGACCCACAGGCAGGGTGGGAGGAGACATGGATTGGGGGTGGCAAGGAGGAGAGGGAGGGGCCAACTGTTCCCCGACCATGCCTCAAGATTTGTCGGGTTTTGTGCATACTGTCCGTTCTGACTATACTGGTCCCCCACTTTCCACTTCTCAACCAGGCAAACTCCTATTGGTGCTTCAAAACCTAGCCTGAATATCCTCTCCTTTGGGAAGTTTTCCTGGGTCTCCAGGACAGAGCTTATGTTCCCTCTTTGGGCTTCCTCCGTTCTGTGCCTCCCTCTGGACCAGCCCTCTGAGTTGGGAGAATAAATGAATAAATGAGCATGAAAATGAGCAAATGTTATATCTCAAACTCCAGACACCACATCAAGGCTCCCCATTCCCTCGCAGTTCCCCCAAATGGACAGGCCTTTGCCCAGGCTCGGTCCAGTGCCAAGAACAACTCACCTGCCGATTCCTTTGGTCCAGAATGCGTGAGATCTGGATTTTTTTCCTCCCCATTGTGCCAGGCTGGGTGGAGAGACCTTGGCCTTGGGGAGAAGGAAAAGAGAACAGAGTGGGTGGGTGGGAAGTTAGACCAGGTACCCAGCCTCCCTTCTGTCTTCCACCTGCCCCTGCCAAGCACTGAGAAGGGAGATGACGGGGGATATCAAGGCAGTCTGGCAGTCCCACAGTCCCCACTCAACCAACCCCAGATGCAGTAGATGCTCAGTGAATTCCACATGAAAAGAAGGCTAACCTAGGGCAAAGGATCGGGATATAGATGCCCCACCCTTGGCCCTAAAGTGAAACAAGCTGGTAATTGTGGGACCTTGGGGGACTTTGACCTTCCTAAGCCCCTTGGTGTGTGCAATGGCATAACAGCGTCACGCACAGCCCAGTGTTGTTGGGAGATGAAATGAGCTAGCCCATGGGAAATATTCACATCCACCCAGCATACAGCAGGTGCCACATATGTGCTGCTATTATTAATACTGGCAACAGCCTAAAAGCCCTTGATGGGCCAGGTTGGATGGACATATGATGCCCATACCTGGTGGCGCTCAGGAAACATTGCTCACTGAATCACTAATCTCGAGCCACTGGAAAAAACAAAAAACAAAAACAAAAACAAAAACCCAGTCTGCACATCGGACACTGGGAAGCCATTCAATCCTGTAACAGCTCCCCAACAAGCAAGATCGAGGGCTGTGGTTCCAAGAAAACGTATTTAAAAATTGCATTGAGGGGCGCCTGGGTGGCTCAGTGGGTTAAGCCGCTGCCTTCGGCTCAGGTCATGATCTCAGAGTCCTGGGATCGAGCCCCGCATCGGGCTCTCTGCTCTCTAGGGGAGCCTGCTTCCTCCTCTCTCTCTGCCTGCTTGTGATCTCTCTGTCAAATAAATAAATAAAATCTTTAAAAAAAAAAAATTAATTAAAAAAAATAAATAAAAATTGCATTGAGAGTAGAAAAAAGACTAGAAGGAAATGAGCAAGATAAGTGGAAATTTATGGGTGAAGTTTCCCCCCTTTTAAAAAAAATTTAGATGCAATTCACACCACCTGAAATTCACCAGTTTAAAGTGTGCAATTCAGTAGTATGGAATGTGTTCACAACATTGCACAAACACCACCTCCAGCTAGCTCCTGAAAAGTTTCCATCGCCCCAAAAGGAGACCCCATGCATATTAGCAGCCACTCCCTATCCTCCCTCCCCAGCCCCTGGCAACCATGGATCCATGGTCTCTATGGATTGGTGCATGCTAGATGTTTCATAAATGAAATCGTACAATGTGTGACCTTTGGCCTTTTTTTTTTCTTCCCTTTTTGATTACCTGAATTTTCTAAATTTCCCCTCTCAGTGATTATAGATTACATTCATTTAAAAAGAATTGGGGGCACCTGGGTGGCTTAGTAGGTTAAGCCTCTGCCTTCGGCTCAGGTCATGATCTCAGGGTCCTGGGATCGAACCCTACAGGGCTTCTGCTCAGTGGGGAGCCTGCTTCCCCCTCTCTCTCTGCCTGCCTCTCTGCCTACTTGTGATCTCTCTCTCTGTTAAGTAAAGAAATAAAAAATCTTAAAAAAAAAAAAATAGAAAGAATTGAGGTCCTGGGTGGCTCAGTCAGTTAAGCATCGCCTTTGGTTCAGGTCATGATCCCAGAGTCCTGGAATCGAGTTCCACCTCAGGCTTACTGCTCAGCAGAAAGCCTGTTTCTCCTTCTGCCCCTCGCCCTACTCGTTCTCTCTCTCTCTCTCTCAAATAAATTAAATAAAATATTTTTAAAAAATTTAAAAGAATAACAGGGCGGATACCTGGGCGGCTCAGTCTGTTGAGCCTCTGAGTCTTTTTCTTTCCCCTCTCTTTTAAAGATTCCATTCATTTATTTGACACAGAGAGAGAAAGCCCAAGCAGGGTGAGCGGCTGGCAGAGGGAGAGGAAGAAGCAGGCCCTCCACAAAGCAGAGAGCTGGATGGGGGGCTCGATCCCAGGCCTCTGGGATCATGACCTGAGCGGAAGGCAGACAATTAACTGACTGAGCCACCCAGGCGCCCCAAGCACCTGACTCTTGATTTCGGCTTGGGTTCTGATCTCAGGGTCCTGGGATCAAGCCCTGTGGGGGGGACGGGGGCGGTAGGTGGGGGGCAGGTGGTTGCGCTTAGCAGGGAGTCTGCTTGAGGATTCTCTCTCCTTCTCCCTCTGCCCCTACCCCCACAATGGATAAATGAATCTTTAAAAAAAAATACATAAACAAGGGGCGCCTGGGTGGCTCAGTGGGTTAAAGCCTCTGCCTTCGGCTCAGGTCATGATCTCAGGGTCCTCGGATCGAGCCCCACATCGGGCTCTCTGCTCAGCAGGGAGCCTGCTTCCCTTCCTCTCTCTCTGCCTGCCTCTGCCTACTTGTGATCTCTGTCTGTCAAATAAATGAATAAAATCTTTAAAAAAAATACATAAACAAGAATAACAGGTTGGAGTAGGTCCCTAAAAGGACCTCAAGTGTAGAGCTCACACTGGGATTTGAGCCTGAGGTCGGCTAGAGAGAAATGCTGCACCCTTCTTACGAGGACCTCCCTAGAATGGTGCTAACGGGTGAGAAGGGAGAGCTCGTAGAGGGCAACATGTCCCCAAGACAGGCAACATGGTGGGCTCCAGGCCTTCCCCAGCTCTCCCCATGCTGGGCTTCTTGGAATGAAGGAGTCACATTGCCCGTTGTAGAGCACACCTCCCACCATACGGACAGCCTCCCCAAGACATCCAAGACCCCTTCCACCACATCTCCGACCACATGACCTCCTGGCACTTCTCATGTCACAGGTGACTGAGGCTTTAGGTGGGTGGCCTGCCCAGGGTCAGGCAGGCCTGCTGGCAGATCCCAGACAGCCTCTGACCCACGGGGCAATCCTCAGCAAGGCAGGCCTCTCCCTAGGCCTCAGTGTGCTGGTCTGGGTATGAAAGGGGTCGGGTATGAAATACAGAGCACCTGGAAATGAGCTCTTGGGAAGTGGAGGAAAATATAGGTCCAACTCCAGGAGCAACCATACCTGCTTCCCAGACTCCCTCCAGGGGTCTGGATGGGATTCCCCCTGCCCCTCACTGTCCCAGAGTCCCAGCGCCCAGGAGTGTTAGACACTGTCATATTTGGCTTGCTGTGTGATCCCAGGTGTGCCCTCTACTCTCTCTTGTCTGGGTCTCTGAGCAGTCACAACCAGGCAGAGCCAGGACCCACGGGAACCCCAGCCCTGGCCCCCCAGCTCCAGCTCAACTTGCTAAATTTAACTTCCCAGGCTAATTTTACTCCCTGGCCGGAATCGGGTGCGTTCCCACGGCTGGGACGTGTTGCCCCAGCCCTGACAGGTCCCTGGGGACAGAAGGGGGGCACTGGTCCGGAGGTCCTGGTGCCAAGGTGACTCCGGAAATGCCCCCGTGCCTGGGGTCCCATGGGAACATGGGACTCAGACATGAATCTCCGGGCCTAGCAGATCTGAATCTGGATCCTTCTCAGTCTGTCCCCAGTTTAGACAAGGACATCCTGGCCAGGGCAGGGTTCACATAATGAGGGAGATCCATGAGCCAAAGGCTGGGGCGGTGGGTCTCTTTGAACTGAGACCCAAGAGCCAAGACAGGAAGTGAGTTCCAGGTAGAAGGAGGGGCAGGTGCAAAGGCCCTGAGGAAGGGCGAGGCATGGTAATGAGGCTAGAGCAAGGTGGCCAGGGTAGAGGCCGCAGAGATCACTCTGGGTCCTCTGATCTGTGGGGAGGCCTATGCGTTTTGGTCTAAGTGACAGAGAGCTATGAGAGGGTTTTGAGCAAAAAGGGATAGGGTTTTGATTTATCATTTATGAGCTTAGCCACAGCTGCCATGGGGAGCAGGACTGCTGGGGGCCGGATAAGAGAAGACAGGAGACTTGAGGGGAGACCAGGGCTGTGTCCATTAGGGGAGAGACTATGGGTGATACCCCCTCTGTTCTAGGCCTACAGCATACACTTTAAGTCACTGTACTCCAAGGGTCTTTGGTTCCTCCTGAAGCCACCAGATCCTCTGCCATTTCTTGGGCCAGGCCTGACAGATGCAGATGGGCTCATGCAGGGGTTTGACTCTTCCGACCTTCAGTGACTTTGGAACCCCCAACCCTCACCCAAGAACCAAAGTCACCCCCAATTCTGGCCCTTGAGCGATCTACCCAACATACAGCTCTGATCATACCCCCTTCCTGCTCACACACACTTCATGGCTCTCCTCTGTCCTCAGGAGAAGTTTCTAGTCCCCAGCCTGGCATTTGAGGCCCTGCCCCAATCAGCCCCTGCCCATCTTAATCTACCTTCAGCAAAATGACTCTGCCTGGAATGCCTGGGTGGCTCAGTCGGTTAAGCGGCTGCCTTCGGCTCAGGTCATGATCCCAGCGTCCTGGGATCGAGTCCCACATCGGGCTCCTTGCTTGGCAGGGAGCCTGCTTCTCCCTCTGCCTCTGCCTACCACTCTGCCTGTGCTCGCTCACTCTCTCTCTCTAACAAATAAATAAATAAAATCTTTAAAAAAAAAAAAAAAGACTCTGCCTGGAAAGCCCTTTTTTTTTTTTTTTCACTTGGCCAACTCCTATTCACACTTCAAAACCCGGCTCAAAAAATTCATTCCTCTAGGAAACCTTCCCTGCCCTTACTCTGGACTCCTACAGCTCCCAAACTTCCCCTCCAGTTTTGACCCCATGGAGCCAGTGGTGTGTATATCCAGCTCTGTCTCCCTCAGACTGGAAGTCCCGCAGGCCCAGATTTAGTGAATGGAGCAGGTCAAGAGAGACTCTGAACTCCCCCCAGCTTCCCTCAACAACTTCCTCTCAGACTCCCCCAGCTGACTCCCTACCCAGAAATACATGGGCATGCAAATCCAGTCACTCAGCGTTGACCTGTCTCAGGCCCAGGTGTGAAGGGCCAGCCAAGGAATGCGGAGGCGAAGGCCCAGGGTGTGCATATATATTTGTACTCACATGCAAATCCCCACCGAGCCGCAGACAGACCCGGTGGCCTGTTCTCCAGATGTTGGCGTGATCGGAACTGCTGGGGGGAGGTGGCAGCACATGCTGAATGTGCCAGGCACGAGTGGGGAGGCCTCTTCTGTGCACACATCCCCCCTCCACCCTCAAGACAGCCAGCTCGGAGGCAGAGAGCTCGTGGCATCTGCCCAGCAAAACAGCAAAGGGATGGATCCATTGACCCAAGAAAGGAGCAACAAAGAAGGGCCAGGAGAAATCCAAGAGGGCATCTCAGAGGAGGAAGCATGTGGTTGGGCCTTGATGGACAGGTTGAATTGGGAAGAGGGTGGGCATTTGAAGCCAAGAGTCCGTCACCTGCCTACCCTTTTCTTTATACCCTCATTCTTAGCATGTAGGAAGTATCAACCATGTGCCAACCCCTGTGATAAGCTGATCACAGAAGAAGTAGAAAGTTTAAGTAGACCAATGACCATAGAAGAATAGAAAAGTGACTCAAGACCTACCATTAAAAGGACAGCAGGCCCACATGGTTTTATGGCTTTTATCAAACCTCAAAGGAGAGGGAAACGCAATGTTATTGAAACTAACTCAGACCATTGCAAGCAATGAGAATTGCCCAAGTCATTTTTATGAAAAATCCTATATGTCAGAATCCAACTAAGTCCAGAAAGAGATGTACGAACCATGAAAGGGGCAATGGGAATCAGGGATTTCAGGAAAGACCTCTCTGAAGAGGTGAGATTGGAACTGAGAGCTGAAGCACAAGAGAGACATCGAAGCAAAGGAAGAGCCAGTCATGCGAAGATGCCTGGGGTGAGGTGGGGGGGGGCCGGTAGGGGGGGGGGGTTGGGGGGGGGAAAGCCGGGGGGGAGTATGTTTCTGGCAGGGGGATCTCCAAGGGCAAAAGTCCGAAGCAATCAGAGTCTGGTATTTTATTTTTATTTTTTAAGATTTTATTTATTTATTTGTCAGAGAGAGAAAAGCACAAGCAGGAGGAGCAGCAGGCAGAGGGAGAGGGAGAAGCAGCTCTCCACTGAGTGAGAAGGCTGATAGAGGACTCCATCCCCAGACCCTGGGATCATGACCTGAGCCAAAGGCAGATGCTTAACTGATTAAGCCACCCAGGCATCCCAGGAGTTTAGTATTTTAAAGCATTTTTAAAAGACTTTTTAAATTTATGTATTTGACAGAGATCACAAGTAGGCAGAGAGGCAGGCAGAGAGGTGGGGTGGGGGAGCAGGCTCCCTGCTGAGCAGAGAGCCGATGCGGGGCTTGATCCCCGGACCCTGAGATCATGACCTGAGCCGAAGGCAGAGGCTTAACCCACTGAGCCACCCAGGTGCCCCTGGAGTTTGGTATTTTAAAAGAAATCACAGAAGACTGTATGGCTAGACAGCATGACAGTGGGAAGAAGGGAGAAGGATGAAGGATGCCGGTGGGGAAGATTGTGAGGGTCAGATCGCATAGGGCCACAGTGAAGACAGTGGGCTTTACTCGGAGGTCAACGAGGAGCCATGGGGAGTTTGGGGGCCAGGGGGGTCGGGATATAATTTTACAGTTTGAAAAATCCCCTTGTGCTCTCTTACCTGGCTGGTGGGAGGGGGAAGAGGTGGAGCCACTCTGGAAATCTATCCGGTGTCTACTAGGTAAATATCCGTCTTTCCTATGACCCAAGCAGTCTCTTTGCTCAGTATTCACCCAAGAGAAATGGGTCCGTATTTTACCCAAGGACACAGATAAGAATGTTTTCAGGAGCTCCATTCATCCTTGCCCCGAGCTGGAACCCACCCAGATGCCCTCCCTGGGAGAATCGGCTACTACTCTCCACTAGATTCCGCGATGGATGACTACGAAGCCCAGTAAAAGGAAGCATTCCTGCTCGGTGCGACTGCATCGTGGACCTCCCAGACGACGGGCCCTCCCCATAGTGCTGGACACGACAGTGGGGACACACCGTGTAATCCCATTTACATGAAGTTCCAGAAGAGGCAAAATTTCCTTACAGCGATGAGGGTCAGCTCAGTGGCCACGGTGGGCAGGTGCTGTGGCACGGCTGCAGGAGTTGCCAGGGCCACTCGCTCCCTGGCCCAGAGTCCCGGCACTCAGACATGCTTAGTTTGTGCAGATGTGTTAGCCCTACTCTGATGATTGGTGCCTTTTTCTCTCCATGATGTATCTCAATCAAAAGGGTTTTTATTATTATTATTATTACTAAAGCATCCCCCGGGGCACCTGGGTGGCTCAGTGGGTCGAGCCTCTGCCTTTGGCTCAGATCATGATCCCAGGGTCCTGGGACCGAGCCCTGCATCTGGGCTCTCGGCTCAGCGGGGAGCCTGCTTCCTCCTCTCTCTCTTCCTGCCTCTCTGCCTACTTGTGATCTCTGTCTGTCAAATAAATAAATAAAATCTTTTAAAAAATAATAAATAATAAAAAGCGTCCCCTATTCAAGGATGCCGTGGGGAGTAGCATCTAAGAAGGAGGAAGGTGACAGGGAGAGGCTGGGGCAGGTGTCCAGGTGGGAGAGGAGAGGCCTGAACTGGGACAGGGGTTGGGGGGTGGGGCAGAAGCAGAAGAATCCTTTGGCAGGGAAAAGGCCCAGATGCACTGGTGGCATCCATGAGGGCTAGGAGAAGAGCCCAGCTCCCAGGCCTGAGCACTGTGCAGACAAAGAACTTAGAAGACAAAGGACAGTTCCATGAGTGCCCAGAGCACCATAAACTCTCTTCAGCTGCCCCTGTGGTCACTAAGACGATCAACAAACATGTCTGGGGTCCTTCAGGCCATAGCGTGTCACCTCTTTGACTTGGTGAGGCCTTTTAGCACCTTGGTGATGGAGATACGGGAGCTGGAAAGAATGCCACCATTGGCATTCTTTCCCCCACTGACCCTTTACCATGGTGCACTCCCTGTCTGAGGACTCAGTTTTCTCACCTGTAAATGGGGGTGAGACTCCTTCTCCCCCACCAGCTGGGGAGGACGGGGTGGTGGATGGCTCTGCTGACCTTGTCTTCTGGCCCTTCCAGAAGCCAGAAGGAAGAAGGGCCAGGCCTTGGAGCTGGGGGCGCTGAGTCAGCATGCCATCTTGGAAGACCACAGTGACACACACAGCGACAGGCTGGGTGACATCAAGCCCCCATAAAATGGGTCACAGAATTCTGACCTCAAAGGCCTTGTGGGGAGGGTTTGAAAGAAAAGACCAGGAGCCAGTCAAGTTCCCCTTCTTGGCTCCCAGTGGGGCATAAATGGGGGGATGAGTGGCACAGTCACGCTGCCCGACCCCGGAGCCCAGAGGCCACAGCTTGGCGGAGCACCCGGACCCGGGACAGGAGGGGAGGAAAGGAGAAGTGAGAGGCAGGTGGGTGGCGGTGGGGGGGGGGAGGGGAGGGCCCACGGGGACTGGCGAAGCGGGGAGGGGGCGCTGTTCCTGGGTGGCCACAGCGGATCAGGCCTGGAGCCCCGCCTCACGCAACCCAGCAGCTGGTTTCATCACCTGTTCCCCAAGTACCTCATTACAGGAGACAGGAAGAGCCCCTTGGAAAGCTGGGACCCTCCCCCTCCCCTCTCCTGAGGGCTCAAGCTGTTCTGACCCCAGCTGCCAGCGACCCTCCCCTCCCCAGCAGGGGCCCTGGGCCTGCCTCCTACCCTGGGGGCCTGGGGAGATGGTGCCCCAAGTGGGGGGGGTGCTCTGTGGATGACCTAGGGGCTGATTCAGCCCACAGTAGTCCCTGAGGGCAGGTGGGCTCTGGCAGTGACTCTGGTGTGGCCAAACTTCTGTGGGCCTCAGATTCCTCCACCAGGAAATGGGAGAGTCAGGGCTACCTTGCTGAACTGGGGTGGAGGGCGGGGGAGGGGGCTGCTGGGGCTTCCGAGTAGGTCCTCTATAGATACTGGTTCCCTCCTTCCCCTGTGCAGCCAGCTTTCATGGTCACATGGTCACCTCTGCTTGGTCCTGGGAGGTGCCCAGATCTGAGCAAGGGCCCTGGGCAGACTAGGCAGGGGGGCTGAGGAATAGGGGGACAAGGAGAAAGCCCATTCCTCAAATGGACAGATGCAGGTAGGGAGATGTCCCTAACACATGCAGAGCCCCTCAAAATCCACAGAGATCTCCTGGACACAGGTATCACCCTCGAACACAGTAGATCCCTCCATACAAAAGTCCCCAGAAGACATGTGGCTCCAAATACACAGGGACCCCCTTAAGCCCAGGCAGCTTTCCAAACACACATATCCCCAAACACTCAGAACGTGCTGCACGTGCAGACCCCCAAGTACACACAGACCTCTCCAGACGCTGAGCCCCCAACACATTCTAATTCCCCCAAATGCACACAGACTCCCCAATACACGCAGACACCCCCCCCAGCATACCACGCCCCCCACCCCCAACATGCATGCTTCTTGTCCGTTTCCTGTAGAGCCGCAGACACAGGTAGGGCTCCCAGCCCTGCAGTGGTAACAATGCCCAACCCACCGGCTTCTGGAGGCACAGAGGTCAGCAGCTCCAGGGAAGGTTGGGGGGCTGGGGAGTCTGTGGGAAGTGAGCATCTGGGGGGGGGTCACATATCTGGAAGCCTCAAGCGGCTCTGAATCCCAGAAACTGAGAATGTTCCAGTTGGAGAAGGCCCCTCAGGGGTCCCTTGTCCATGAGGCCCTCTGATACCCATGGGGAAACTGAGGCCCAATGGGGCCCCTCAGACCTCCCCTCCCAAGGTCTGCTCCTAGGAGGCCATGAGAAGCCAGGGCTGTGGCTGTGAACCTGGCCAGACCACAGTGTTATAATTCTCAGCTCCACGGCACATTCACTGCCTGACGTGCTCCGAGCCTTAGTTTCCCCATTTGTACTCTGAGTCCCTGGGAGCCCCCCAGTGCCCATCCACCTGTTCCTTCTCTTTAGAAAGGCCTCATCTACCAGCAAATTCCCAGTACCCCTTCTGCCCCTTTTCGGGCATCTGACACATTTCCACCACCGGGCCTTTGCCCAGGCTGGGCCTTTCCCTGGGGCCACCACCCTTGCCAGGCTTGCCCAGGTCCGAGGAGCTGCTCCATGTCTTTTAAGGCCAGGCAGAAATCCCTTTTTCTGGAGGCGCCCCTTTTCCCAGAGGACAGTCACCTCTCCCTGAGGCACTCAGCCCCACTGGAAACTTTCTCTGCTTCTTTGCTACTTTTTTTGAGGCTCATGCTGCCCCACTCGGATGTCCGCTCGGTGAGGGCAGGGACGGAGCCCTTCCCGCCCAGTGCCCGGCACACAGTAGGCCCCCAGTCACCCTTCCTTGAGTGGATGAGCAAACTGCTTAATCAACGGAAACATGGATAACTGGTTCAGTTTTCTTTCAAAGGCCCTGTGGCCACTAAAACAAATTTGCGCCCTGCCCCCTTCCAGTTGGAGACCCTGCTCTAAGCCACCGGCACAAGAGCCAAGTGAGGGGTGCTCATGTTCCTCTCAGGCCCAGGGACTGACCCTCTGTAGGTGTCAGTGTCCATCCAGGAAGGAAATCTTGTCCCTCATCTGGCAAGAAGGCCAAATTCTTTGACACAGCCACTGCAAACAGAAGCCCACTACCCCATCACACCTCCCTGACGGGTTTGGGACCCTGACACTTGGAGCAGGGAGAGCCTTTACATTCAGAACCCAACCCTGCTGTCCCAGATTGGAGCCCAGGGCCACCCAAGGCACCCGGTGATGTCCCCTGAGCCTTAGGGGCAACTGCAGGGATGGCCCAAGATTTCTCTCTCTTTGTTCCAGAGAAAGATCTCCCCATGGGACCCCAGAAATT